GGCGGCTTGCGAGTAGGGTCCGTCGGGTGCTGCCCGGAGGGCGCCCGGTTGGGGAAGGAGGGGCGCCCTTTGCCCGGGGAGTCGAGGGAGGGTCCAGCGCCGCCTGTGGGGAGGGCGCTTGTGCTTCCTCGGGGCGTCCTCTTACCCCGCGGCTGCTGCTTCTGCGTCCCGGGAACCTTGTTTGCGGTAAAAGAATAATGACGATAGTGGCGATTCATGAAATCGGTTTGTTGCCCGGCCCTCAGCGACGCTGAGTGGCTCACGACAGTCGAATTACGGTAACATCAATAAAACAATCATCATAAGGATGATGATTTATTAAACTTGCATGCCGCCTGACTCTCAATGACATCGATAAAACACATAATCATAGTTTATTGGACTTGTTTGCCGCTCAGCTCTCAATGACTCTGAGCAGCTCACGACAAACAAATTACAATAAAATCGATAAGCCATCATAATAATGATGACTTTTTAAACTTGCATGCTGCCCGACTCTGGGCGGCTCAGAACAAGGATGTTACGATACGACATAAAAAGCAAAGATGGAAGCTGGGAAGCACCGTGGAGTGAGGCTGTGGGGCGTCAACCGGATGAAAAGAGGTCACCAATCTCGCTGTGGCTTTGCATTCCAGTGTCCAGGATGGGCTCGCCGCCGACTTCGTCGCCCTGACCAAAACGCTGTACGATTTCCACCACGCCCTTCGGGGTGAGCCCATGGCCGGAAGCCCTTTAAAAGAGCTGGTGATCGAGAACTTCGACGAAGAGCAGATCTGGCAACAGCTGGAGCTCCAGAATCGCGCCGTCCTCGGGCCCTTGAAGAAAGCGGTCACCAGAAACGTGGCGGACGAGGGAAAGGGGCTGCTTTCCCTTCTCCCAGATGCTGGGGAGGATGAGTCGGGGCCAGGAGACGGCGAGGAGGGGACCGACGTGGAGGACCAGGCAGAGGAGGAGTCCAGTGACTGCAGCGAAGAGGAAGGCGAGCCCGGCAGAAAGAGGGGCGGTTTCGGAGCAGCCAAAAACAGCACTTTCAGTGACGAGGATTCTGACCTGGACTTTGATATCGATAAGTTAGAGCAGCAAACGCAAAAGTCAAAGAGCGTTATGAAAAAGATGGGGGAGGAGTCCCTGGTGGACGACAGATTTTTCAAACTCTCTGAGATGGAGGCTGCTTTGGAGGCAGAGGAGAAAGAAGGGAACAGAGATAGTGACAGTGATGGAATCGATTATTTTGAAGAGATTCTCTCTGAAGAGGAGGAGTTTGGAGCAATGAAAAAGAAGAAGGTAAGAGCTTGGGGAAAAAATATTGTATTCCTGTAAGTCTGCTCTTAAAGGTGACATTATTTTGAAGCCCTTTGAAGCAGGTAAGCAAATACCACTTCTGGAAAAATCTTTATTGCTAGTGGGGTATTGTAACAGAATCTTGAAAGCCTGCCAAAACCATTCTCCAGATCAACTTATACCTAGCGTAATTCAGGCATACTTCCCCCTTCCCCAGACTAGGCATTTCCTCACAATTGTCCTTATATAGGTTGTCCTTGTTCAGCAATTGCCTTGTTTAGCAACCATTCGCAGTTACAACAGTGTTGAAAAAGTAACTTTATGACCAATCCTCGCATTTATGACTTTCTCACATCTGTAAAGCAAAAGAAACCTGAAGGAAGATTGTAAGCACCTTTGCGGTTTCACTTGGCGATCACTTTGCTTAATGACCGAGTTGTTGGTCCCAGTTGTCGCTAAACGAGGACGACCTATAATATTTTCATAGCCTGGGTAACCTTATGTCTGTACCAACCCTTCTTGTGTATAGTAGGTCTCTGAGTGAGGGCCAGCATGAATCATTCCAACCTTCAGCTGCTTGCTCCAGACTGAGGCACCGTACCATTTCTCCCTTGAGATGAGATACGGCAAGAGCCCCAAGAAGAAAACAAGGAGCCGGAGTTAAAGTTGGAAACAGAGACCGGATTGACAGGGCAGTAAATGTTGTCAAGGGCAGCATTTTAAGGAGAGAGTTGCTACTTGGTTTGCTTCCTTTTCAGAACCAGCCACTTAAGGCAGTTCATTTCTGGGTTCAGATAACGAGGCTGTTGCAAAAAGGTACCCCTAAGTCCTCCCAAAAGCAGGGTTGCAGGACAACTGAAGATGTTGTAAAGTGCAGCCGATAGCTGATACATGGATAAATATGGGTATATATTGGTGGCAAGGTGTTTTGATTTGCTGCAAATTGCTAGTATGCCTCTTGGGAGTTAATGCCTGGAGCATGCACTCACGGGAATTTGTAGCTGGAACAGGAAGAAGAAAAACGATACATGAAAATTGGTCAGACTTGTACAAAATCTTCTGAAAGTTCTGGTTTGTTTACATCCAAGTATTGCCTACTTTGAAACAGAACGGACTCTTACTGGGCAATCCTATGGTGAAACTCTGTAGATATATTCCACTTATTTTGAGACACAGTTCTTATTCCAGTGTGCTAAGTATTCAACTGCCCATCAACCTCCGTTTTCTTCTTCCTCAGGCAATTAAAAGCGCACGCGATCTTAAATATCAAGATTACTTTGATCCTGTGGATGACAGCAGCGGTCCCATGGATGAACAGGAAGATGACCAAAATGACCAGAGTGAAGAAGAGGAAAGGGAAGAAGAAGAAGAAGATGGCCCTGAGAGTATTCCCGAGTATGTGGCTGATATCTAAGGGCACAGTTCTGGTATTTTAATAAGGAATTCTGAAATCTTGATGCGTTTATAGCACAACCTTTGTAAGTTCACTCAGAAGTTAGTGCCGTTGTGCTGAGTGATGTTTTCTCCTTGGTAAGTCTGCATCTAAAAGTTCTTCTGGGCTGAACTGATTCTATTACACAAACAGGAAAGTGTTACCTGACGTCCTGTTGTTCTTTTCCTTCGTGATGTGTTGGGCAGGGAATTGTTCGTGCTGAAATTCAGCACGGTGGAAGGCGTCAGGTTGAGAATGTCATCTTATGAAGTGGTATTCTCCCCCTTCTCAGGGGGGATTCTGTATGTGGGATCATGAAATTTCCTCTTTTTGTGTTCTGTTTAGCACCCTAGCAAGTTGAAGCTTGTAGATACTTTGGAGAGTTTCAGTAAGAAATACCTGCCTAACGAAGCTCCTTTTTCCACCCTGTCGTTGAATAGGGACACTGAGGACATGGGTGAAATCAGCCAGATCGAAAGCGGAAAAAGCAAAGAGGCTTCGAAAAGAGTGACTTTCACCTTGCCCTTTGACAGTGACATGGAAGAAGAAACTCACGTGTTCCAGGAGAAATCCAACAAACCCCCTGGAATGAAATCTTCCTTTGAGAAAAGACAGGAAAAGGTGAACTTGTGTATCTGCATGTGGCCTAAAGGCCTTTACCTTTTTATCTGAAAGAATCTTGTTTAAAGCAAATACAAAATCTTCAGGCTGCAAGAAGAAAGCAGGAGGATGGGGAAGGAACAAGAGGCGGATGAAAAGAGCTGCGTCTTGAGAACTAATTGCTAAGAAATTGTTCCCTTACAGATGAGTGAAAAAATTAAATCCCTTGAAGAGGAGTTGCTGGTGGAGAAGCCGTGGCAATTGAAAGGCGAAATTACGGGACAGAAGAGACCAGAGAACAGTCTTCTGGAGGAAATGGTGCTTTTTGACCACGCAGTCAGAATGGGTAACCCTTTTGCTGAGCACAATCATGCTTTCTCTTAAAAGCTCCGGATGAGGAATATGCCTGTGGTGGAGAACTGTTTAGCTTGTAGCCAGGAACGATGGTTTTTTGTGGCCAAGAAGGTTCCCTCATCTGGCTATTTCCAGAAAGGATGCTGTTAAATCTCACTGGATCTTTTTCTGTTCTCAGCTCCTATGATCACAGAAGAAACAACTCTTGAGCTGGAAGAGATTATCAAGAGAAGGATAAAAGATCAGGTGAATCAAAATGATTGTCTTTCTCTCGATTATGCTGTTTGGGAGAGGGATCTGTCTGTTCTGCCACCAGAGCCATGCCGTGGTGCTGGTTTGCAATTCTTCAGGTGGTCTGGATTGTAGGTGTCTGTCAGGCCTAGCCCAAGGAACTCCAAGAGATCATGCCAATTCAGTCCAGCTATGTTTATT